CAGTATAACGAGAACAAGATTGGGAGACTACATTTGGGGGCTGATTCGTGAAAGTGATTTACAGTATAATCGTAAATATCGAAAAACTACTCACTTCTAAATCTTTTGTAGTTATTTTTGTATTACTTTAGGATAAATACATGTTAATTTTGATTAATATGTTGTTTTTTCCTGACTTTATGTGAACGGAAACACAAATTCGCCCGTTTTCTCTTGAAAAATAGGTAAATTTCAAAATATCAATGTCCTGGTCACAAAAGCAAAGTTTGTGGGGAATAATAGCCATTCTCTATACTTTTGAGGCGTAAGCAATTGCGAAATAATACTTACTACCCAGGAACAATAATTGTGTTACATAGTGTTATTTTCTGCTGTACAAGACAAACTGGTGACAAAATAAAAAAAAAATCTGTAATTTATGACAACATAATTAAGATCACCACGGTGTGACGTGATGATGATGGTGGTTTAATAATCATGCATATTGAAATCACAATCTATAATTATTTAAGGAGACTTTTATATTCATGGTATAATCACTGTAGCACAGGCTGCTGTTAAGCACACAGCAAAGTGTGTTGACCAGAACAGCATATTCCAGGAGTCTAGCAACTGTCATGCCAGTCGACTCGATTTTTCAACGGTTTTACTTAACTTAATTCCTTTGTTTGTCTGGGTCAAATCTTGTAATCAAAATTTCGTCCACTTCCCGTTGTCCAATCAATTCCACATTTTGCACAAGTACTCAGATCCGGTGACAATGCATGCCTGTATCAAAATCGGCATGAATTAATCAATTAAATCGCTACTTTAAAGCAATTTACATTTTTTATGGACGCCTTATTATTTATATATTTGTGAAGGTCAAAAATGCCGCGGTCCCTAAACTGTGGAAACGGCTCGCACAAAACGCAGGCGCCGCGTATCTCAGGCGCCATTGATGTACTTCTTGACCCTGAGTTAAACGAATTTGTTACTCAAACCGTTGTTTAAAAAAAAAAAAACTTTTTTAAAGGAGTTATTATATTTGCACTCCATATTGACCATGTTCCACATCAGAACTCATTCAAAATTATGGTTTTAGATGTACTACTCCTCAATGTATAATGCAATTGTTCTGCACTCCGAATAAACGTTAATTTTTTTCTTAAGGTCAAGAAAAAAATTGCAATACATCTCACCCATATGGGGAAAAGACATGAGGGGCTCATCCCTTTAATAAAAAACTCGGATGTAAAATTGTGGAATATGGGGTGAAACACATTAAAGGTTAATATGGGACATGGACTGGTTACAATAATGTGATATTGGAAAATCGTTCGAGGACTTTTGTATTTGAAATAGATTTTTGCCAAATTAATTGCGGCGTTTAGGATTGTGTGCATGTATCTACAGAACTCGAACAAGCAGGAATATCGCTGCTTTTCCATTTCAATCTGGCCAGAGTCAACTGAATCCCATTAATATCCCTTGAGAGTCAATAAACCGAGTAGCATCTTGTTGGGAAATCTGTTATTAGATGTGTCATAGAAACGTGTCAAATTTCCACCACGGGGCTCAGGACTGACCCACTGAAACGAACACTGCACATCACTTTTAATAAATAGGTGAAAACGTCGAACGTTTGCATACATGTAGTGCATAGCAAGAATACATTAGACTAACGTGAATTTGTGCACTGTTGTTATCGGTGGCGTGTAAACGGCGCAAATACTGTAATATATTTGGCTGCCCATGGGACCCTGAGAGGACCCAAGTTTCGGGCTACGGAAAGGAACGGAAATTAGACACAGGATGCGGGCGGTTCCTTTTTAATTGCTTACCCCAGGGCCCATACCAACCATGCCTCGCCACTGATTGTTATTGACCGCCCATTACAGAGGAGATGAGCTATTAACGTTCATCAATGTATGCAAAGACGAATGAAACAATATATCCCTCAGTTGAACACGTAGGCTTTCGCGACCAATATTATTCATAATAAAGGTTTTTGGGTTAGATCGCGTTATTTATGTGTCGTAACCCTCCACCACCCGACACGGCCAATCAGCAAAAAAGTGTCACGTTGACAAAAGACAAATAGTTAACTACTTTAGCCCACCGGTGTGTTGAAGAGTAAATCGACAACATTTACAGTTTGAGTACGACGTTTCGCTAGTAATTACATCCAACATCATCGGGCAATTCGCCAGAATGGTAAAGCCCTCACTTGCTCCCGGTCTTAAATAGAGCAGCAGGATGACGTCATCATTTAACTCATTCAGGTGCAGTGATTTGAGGCGGAAGGGGGGGGGGGTATTGTAATTATATAATCGATTGGTAATCAGTCAATGGTTATGATTAGTAATGAGTTGTAGATTAGTAATTAGTTGTAATGTGTGTTAATGTGATTATATGCTACGTTAGTAATCCGTTAATTAGTATGTGTTTCCCCTATAAGGAATTGTAATATGTATTATTTAATAATACGCTTCCAAGCCACACTAAGCCTGTAGCTGTCAGAGCGATTAAAGTTATTTATATTTCTCTCAATTTACTAGAGGAAAGTACCTACATTAAAATTAAACGAGATCCAACTAATACTTTAGAACGTAAGACTACTGCAATAATTGCAAATTCATTAATCCCTAAGAATTAGCAATACCAAATTAAGCCAAGGGCCTCAAAACCACCTAGACTGTATGGGCTACCAAAGATTCATAAAATCGGCATCCCATTACGACCCATAGTAAGTAAAATTGGCTCTGCCACATATAAATTAGCAAAATATATAACTAAACAAATACAGCCCTACATCGGTAGGACATCTTCATTCATAAGAAATTCAGAACATCTTGTGAATGTGATTAAAGATATTAAACTTAATCGTAATGATATTCTGATAAGTTTTGATGTGATTTCTCTATTCACTAAGGTTCCAGTGAACGAATCGCTTAAATTACTTGATACACTAGTAAAGAATACAGGTTTACCAACAGATATTCCGAAACTTGCTGACCATTGGTTAAATAACACTTACTTCTTATGGAGAGGGGATTTATTTAAACAAAAGGAATTAGCAGCAATGGGCTCTCCTTTATCTCCTGCTATAGCAAATCTGTACATGAAAAACTTTGAAATAAGAGCACTTGCCTCGAGCACATTAAAACCATCTTTTTGGTTTAGGTATGTGGATGACACTTTGGTTGTCTGGCCACATGGTAGAGATACACTTAATGATTTTCTAAATCATCTCAATGCACAAAACCTGGCCATCCAGTGCACCATGGAAATGCAGGTGAATAACACACTCCCGTTCCTAGATATTTTGCTTGGACATGGCCTAAACGGTAAAATAACACACAGCGTTTACAGAAAGCAAACGCACACTGATGCCTATCTGAATGCAGATTCGCATCATCATCCAGCTCAGAAATCCTCTCTTATCAAGACGCTCATACATCGGGCAAAAACAGTGTCAGATGGTGAAACTCTAGTGAGAGAGATCAAACACGTTAAAGAAGCATTTCGACAGAATGGCTACAATAATACTCATGCCAAATCACGATCGCAAAGCAACACTGCTGAAAGCGATCAGATTTTGATTTAAAGCTTTCGTGACTGCAGTAATTCATATTCTTAGCTCTTTCGGTAAAGTCACGTTGAAGGGAAACAATAAAATAATAAAATATATATAAAACAATAAAAATTCTCACGATGTTTCGACCATAACACAAAAGGTCATCATCAGGTGTGAAAACCAATGTTTCTTGCCGTTGGTTTTCACATCTGATGATGACCGTTTGTGTTATGGTCGAAACGTCGTGAGAATTTTTATTGTTTTATATATTTTATTATTTTATTGTTTCCCTTAAACGTGACTTTACCGAAAGAGCTAAGATTATAGCGATCAGATTGTTAAAACAATTAAAATTCCATATATCTCAGGAGTAACTGACAAATTAGCCCGTGTTTTGCAAAAGCAAAACATTACAGTAAGATTTGGTACAGTACACAACATTCAAAAACTATTATCTTGCACTAAAGACGAATTACCTAAATTATCAACAGAAGGTGTATATCGGATTAATTGTTTATGTGGCACATGCTATATTGGACAGACGGGACGTAACATCAGCATAAGACTAAAAGAACACCAAAGAAATATTACATTTTCTCAACACAACTGTCGGCAGTAGCAGAACATGCTTGTCAACAAGGACACTCAATTGATTTTGATAACGTTGAAGTGTTGTGTAAAACTAATTATTACTGGCAAAGACTAATCAGAGAATCCATTGAAATTGAGAGAAATAGAAATAACTTTAATTGCTCTGACAGCTACAGGCTTAGTGCGGCTTGGAAGCGTATTCTTAAATAATACATATTACAATTCCTTATAAGGGAAATGCATACTAATTAACTGATTACTAACGTAGCATTTAATCACAATAACACACATTACAACTAATTACTAATCTACAACTCATTACTAATCATAACCATTGACTGATTAATAATCGTTTATATAATTACAATACCCCTCCCTCCGCCTCAAATCACTGCACCTGAATGAGTTTAATGATGACGCCATCCTGCTGCTCTATTTAAGACCGGGAGCAAGTGAGGGCTTTACCATTCTGGCGAAATGTAATTACCAGCGGAACGTCGTACTCAAATTGTAAATGTTGTGGATTCACTCTTCAACACACCGGTGGGCTAAAGTAGTGAACTATTTGTCTTTTGTCAACGTGACACTTTTTTGCTGATTGGCCGTGTCGGGTGGTGGAGGGTTACGACACATTTATAAATAACGCGATCTAAACCCAAAAACATTTATCATGAATAAAATCTCCCTCTACATCGTTCCTCAAACCTTCTTTCTCCAGCACCGTTTAGTTGTACGTGACGAAACTAATCTCTCGCGTGGGCGTAGAAGGAGGTGATGGGGAGGAGTAAGGAGCCGGGGTGGGAGGTGGGGAGGAGGGGAGTAATGGTGATGAAGGCGTTCCCCTCTCCACAGTGGCTTCTTTGCGCGTGCAGTCAGCTGTGCGTTGCAGCTCCGGCTCGCGGAATGCCCGGGACGTGGTGGTGCTGAAACGGACAGCGCCGCTCCTGTGAACGGCTATAGACGGACATCGCGTTCGACAACAGCGCGTATCGATGCTGATGAATACAGCTGCTTAGAAGTCTACATAACTAACTTCGATCACTGTAATCTGTCGTGCAAGGTTGCTTTTAAAACTATGTTTATGCAGCGTGCATGCGTGCGTACGTGGGTGCTCATCGGCGCGTTTCGGGGCCAGCAGTGTTTGAGTATTTAACAACGCGCTAAATGAACAACGAACCTTTCGATCTGAAGTTAACGACACTTGGCGGTAGAGTTGTTGGTGTCGTTGTTGCTGTACAGGAATTGGAAATCAAGAGCTCCATTGTGATATGGGTCCCGCGTTTAACGTGAGCGCTGTGAATGCGTCTCGGCTTCGTGGCATCCTCATGAACGTCACACGGGGTGAAGAAATGCCCTTCATGACGGACGCGTGGCTTGTACCTCTTCTCTTCGCTCTCATCATGCTCGTGGGGCTGGTGGGCAATTCTTTGGTGATTTTCGTCATCACGAAAAACCGACAGATGCGCACGGTCACCAACTTCTTCATAGGTGGGTATGCGCACGCGAACGCCTAGCATGTACACCATACATGTGTCAGCGACTGTTGTCGTATAGCATGGTTAGCCCGCTGCGCGACGAACCCGACGACCCGAGTTCGATTCCTACTCATGGCCAACACCAATGACGATTATCTAAATCGGTCCTCGGTCTCCTCTAGGTCGACTCAGCCTTAACTGAGTACCTGTTGCGATGTGTAAACATCGCGACTGGGGATACAATGGCGGCCGTGCTTGGTGCTGGTCACCCACCTCCTCGTGTGCCGTGCCGGCCTTCATAGGTACTCGCTAACAGCACTTGCCCCAACAGTCTGTTAAGGCTATACGGGGGATAGTAGTCTTTTTATGACAATGCACAGCCATTTCAGCAATCCTGAGGAGGATAGAGAGGTGGCTCAGTGGGTAGCGCACTCGGCTATGAACTCGCGATTCTGAGTTAGAGTCCCGGCCGCGCCTCGCATCCGTTACGAGTGCTACATGAACGGGTTGCACAGGTTCTGTGCGCTCCCACCCCTTCATGCACCCGCACTGACTGGCATTGTAAAGTATGGTCAAACAACCGTCAAAACCGACAAGCGTAGGGTGGCCTTCATCCAGCAGTGAAGGCCTCCCTGTGCCGCGTTGAATGTGGGGTAGTTGGACCATACTTCACCACCCTGCTCAGTTCGGTTCGGTGAAGGAGAGAGACGCCCAGGACCGGTTCATATATCACTCACCACTTCCGTATATCGAACCTAGGTTGCCGGGTTGATAGCGCAGGCGCGGGGGCGTTATTCACTGCGCCACCGCTCCACCCCAGCACATAAAAAAGCAATTCAACATAAAAGACTACAATGTAATAGAATGATTCATTGTTGGAAACTCTCTGTAAAAGAATGTAACACTGAGAAGGTTTTCCCCTTTTGTCTGGCAACAAAACAGGTGTATAGATGTTAAAACACCAAACTGAAACCTTTTACAAGGAATCATGTCTGCATTAACCACAATACGTGTGGTCAGAATGCAAACAAAAAACGTTCTCTGATAATATATGCATTGTCTTTGAAACAGATTGGTCCACACCAGAAACAGCTTTCTTCGTCTCAAAACGGTGTGAGACCAGAGGACTCCAAAAGTCATACAACGTCTTTTCTACATGACTAACTTATTTAAATATGCTAAAAATGTCCCCCCCCCCAATATATTTCTATAAACAATATTTTTAAAAAATGCTATGCTATGTAAATAAAAACAATTTGCTGAACCTTAGCCACAATATCTGCACTTGTCTTCATATAACAATGCATAGATTTATGTTTATATGATTGTGGTCATGATTGTACTTTATTAATCCCTAATCTCTGCCATTACATACAATGAAACAAGAAAAGGTAAAAAAAGTAAAAACAGAGCAATGTAATACAATATACACTATTAGACATTATTGTAAAAAAAGTAAAAAAGTCCATCCCATGTGTTAGTCAATTTTTTATATTTTAGGCAGGAAATTAGTGTTCAGATTTAGATTTTTTTCTGGGGAGGGGGGCCTAGATCCCCTGGAAGATTTGGTCTCCCCCAATGTTGACTCCATGGCTACGGCCTTGTGTAAATGTAACACTGCTTTCAATAATTATTTAGGTCACCACTTTCTGTGCGGAAAATCGGCAAAAATGTTTCCACTGATTATTTCCGTCGGTTACCAAAAAGCACTTAAAAAAGAACCGATTTAAACCCGAGTACAAATTAGTTGGCGGACCCAAGGGAGGTAGGGGGCGATGAGGTCAGGCGATCGTACCCCTTCCCCTTACGCCTCCTCCTCGAGACCGTATTTAATTGATTTTTACCTAAAGAAAATAACTGTTGTTTACGAAGTGCAATATTGAAACGAAAAATAGCTTGATCCGCCTCTGGCGCAAACACATCGAAGTGTTTGGAGAAAACCACGCTCACCGGGCAATAACACGTACCATAAACCTGCATGCCGTACTGCCTTCACTTGCGCATTTGATGGGTCAACGTATCCGTGATCCACCAACCCCGCAGCGTCGGTACATGTACAGCCCATTTGTCAATTCGCGCCTGCGCAGGCAGTGAGGAAATTTAGGTTGACCATACTTCAGCATGCCGGGAAGCGCGTGTTGGTTAAGGAGGGCCACCTGGAATTGCTTCGGATATGACTCTCCACCGATATTATCCGTGGCCTGGAATTGAGCGCAGGTTGCTCAGTTGATGGAGCAGTGGGGGCGACACCGCCCCACCCTGGTGGAATAAGCACGAGCTTGTTTACATGTAGGTGGTGGCATAAATAGCCCACGAGGTCACGTTGTTTGTCATTATTATGCCTCCATGGTACAGACGACAATTAGTATACAGCGCTGAACTCATACGGCTCTCATTTAAATCGCACGTCTGGGTTTATTTAAATGAGGCATCCCGAATGCTTTGCAGCAATTTGAGACCGCCGCCAGTAAATGTGACATGCCACCTTGCCCTCAATAACCCCACGTGTATTCGTGCGCTCTCTCGAGGTCGCCTGATGTCGGATGTGTAAATGTGTTCAAAGGAACGATTCGATGATCGCAAATCGTGGTGGCCATTGAAGTCGGATTCCAAAAGGACATTGTTCATAGACGATGCAATATTCATGCAAGCCCATGACCCTTCTCTGCTCACAAGTGTTATGAGTTCAAACACGTCAAATTAGCCCCTCATACCATTATGATCGATTCCACAATGGAATTTTTAAGTTGAGAGGCAACAGCGATCGTTATAGCACCTGTCATGGGAATGTGGAATTTCGAACACTGGTTCTGGACCAGGGCTGCAAGATTGGGATATTTTTAGCACAATTGGTCACGGTGATGGCCACGGACGCCTGTAATCCAGCACTGCAGAGGTAGGGGATTGGTGAATCACCGCACAAATGTTGCAAAACTCCGTTCCCATGTGCGTCGAGGAGCCGTATCCTGACTCGGCAGACGGCAATACAGCAAGTGGACTAATCACCATCTCTTTCCATCTCTATGGAGAAAGAGTGTTACCCGCTCGCGCTCGTGGTGCTCCGGTTTCATCCCAGACGAATAAACACGCATGATTTAGCTGAAAAAAACATCTTCAAATAAAAACCAAATGCAGGACCCTCCTGAAAAAGATCCCTCCAACTAAATGTGGCTTGCCTGGGTAAATAAGTGAATGTGTGTGTATGTACAGTGAGGAAAAAAAGTATTTGATCCCCTGCTGATTTTGTACGTTTTCCCACTGACAAAGAAATGATCAGTCTATAATTTTAATGGTAGGTTTATTTGAACAGTGAGAGACAGAATAACAACAAGACTTGATTCGAAGCTTTCGTGACTGCAAGAATTTATCTTTGTTTTTTTTCGGTAAAGTCTTGCAGTCACGAAAGCTTCGAATCAAGTCTGAACCACCTCTACGGGGAGGTATGAGGTCTGTGTCTTTGTGTTGTCTCTGCTTGTGCATCTGCCTTTGTGTCTTGGCTTGGATTTGTGTCTCTGTGCTGTTTCTGCCTGTGTGTGGGCCTTGGTGTTTCCGAGTGTGTGCTTCCGCGCCCCCTTTGCTCCATGCATACCTCATGCTAATTTGTCCCATTGTCTCTCAGCCTCACCTTCTCTGCCTATTTAAGGCGACTTCACTGTGTGCGTGTCTGTGCTGGTTCACTCTACTTGGATGTCTATGTGTGTGTGCGCGGTCTGTATTTTAAATGTCATACTTAACTTGCAATTTAACAATCTTTGAAATTGCGTAATCAACCAGACTATGCGTTAATTGTGTTTTGACCGACCGTTTGTGTTGCTTTATATGGTTTCCAAATTTTGCTAAACCCTGATTGTTAGGTATGCTTCTCTCTCTGTTGTACCCTGTTGTATCTGTGTTAGTTCCCCCCTACTTGGGTGTCTGTATATACATCTGGGGTTATGTGTTTCCTCTCTCTCGTAAATTTAGCTCTTCTGTACCTGATGATGGCTGCTTGTGTTGCAACCGAAACGTCGTACGCTATTGTTATTTTATTATTTTTTATTTATACGTGACTTTACCGAAAAAAACAAAGAGAATAACAACAACAAAATCCAGATAAACGCATGTCAAAAATGTTATAAATTGATCTGCATTTTAATGAAGGAAATAAGTATTTGACCCCCTCTCAATCAGAAAGATTTCTGGCTCCCAAGTGTCTTTTATACAGGTAATGAGCTGAGATTAGGAGCACACTCTTAAAGGGAATGCTCCTAATCTCAGCTTGTTACCTGTATAAAAGACACCTGTCCACAGAATCAATCAATCAGATTCCAAACTCTCCACCATGGCCAAGACCAAAGAGCTCTCCAAGGATGTCAGGGACAAGATTGTAGACCTACACAAGGCTGGGATGGGCTACAAGACCATTGCCAAGCAGCTTGGTGAGAAGGTGACAACAGTTGGTGCGATTATTCGCAAATGGAAGAAACACAAAATAACTGTCAATCTCCCTCGGCCTGGGGCTCCATGCAAGATCTCACCTCGTGGAGTTGCAATGATCATGAGAACGGTGAGGAATCAGCCCAGAACTACACGGGAGGATCTTGTCAATGATCTCAAGGCAGCTGGGACCATAGTCACCAAAAAATAATTGGTAACACACTACGCTGTGAAGGGCTGAAATCCTGCAGCGCCCGCAAGGTCCCCCTGCTCAAGAGAGCGCATACACATGCCCGTCTGAAGTTTGCCAATGAACATCTGAATGATTCAGAGGACAACTGGGTGAAAGTGTTGTGGTCAGATGAGACCAAAATGGAGCTCTTTGGCATCAACTCAACTCGCCGTGTTTGGAGGAGGAATGCTGCCTATGACCCCAAGAACACCATCCCCACCGTCAAACATGGAGGTGGAAACATTCTGCTTTGGGGGTGTTTTTCTGCTAAGGGGACAGTACAACTTCACCGCATCAAAGGGACGATGGACGGGGCCATGTACCGTCAAATCTTGGGTGAGAACCTCCTTCCCTCAGCCAGGGCATTGAAAATGGGTCGTGGATGGGTTTTCCAGCATGACAATGACCCAAAACACACGGCCAAGGCAACAAAGGAGTGGCTCAAGAAGAAGCACATTAAGGTCCTGGAGTGGCCTAGCCAGTCTCCAGACCTTAATCCCATAGAAAATCTGTGGAGGGAGCTGAAGGTTCGAGTTGCCAAACGTCAGCCTCGAAACCTTAATGACTTGGAGAAGATCTGCAAAGAGGAGTGGGACAAAATCCCTACTGAGATGTGTGCAAAACTGGTGGCCAACTACAAGAAACGTCTGACCTCTGTGATTTCCAACAAGGGTTTTGCCACCAAGTACTAAGTCATGTTTTGCAGAGGGGTCAAATACTTATTTCCCTCATTAAAATGCAAATCAATTTATAACATTTTTGACATGCGTTTTTCTGGATTTTTTTGTTTTTCTGTCTCTCACTGTTCAAATAAACCTACCATTAAAATTATAGACTGATCATTTCTTTGTCAGTGGGCAAACGTACAAAATCAGCAGGGGATCAAATACTTTTTTCCCTCACTGTAAATTTTCGTGATATATACTGCAATTCCAAAAAACACAACCAGTGTATCGAGTTTTCACGAGGCAAAGTCTCCAATGGCAACACCATTTTATACCGTGTATATATTGAATCGTCATTACGAGAGTTACCATGTTAAGGATCGTCAGGCAGGCACAGTATGAGATCATTCAAGATTAGTTGAAAAGCATGATGTGAGCTCTTATCATCCCTTCATGAGCTAAGGAGGTGCTTTTGTACTCTTCTGTCCAGAGGTTTAGACGCTTTCTACAGAGAAAAGAAAAGATGTGGGCTTGCTCTCATTTGAGCAATGTGACACTCATAGCGTGAACCATCAATGTGAAGTCCATTAACGGTTGCTGTGGATAAGCATAATCCTTGCCTGTGAGCAGGTCACGCGAAATGCACCCGATCCCATCATATCTCAAGAGGATAGTCAGGTTGAAACCTGTATAATGCTTGGAAGGGTGAGCAGCGTTTACAATACTAAGGCAGATGTAGTGGGGATTCAGGGCAGCAGATGGCAGTGCAGAGCAATCCAATGAAACCCTCTTCATCCGCGGATTTTTCTTTTGCGAAATATGATTCGCGATTTTATATTTGCATACAGTTCAACGTTTCGCGCCTTTTCCCCTTCCGAAGTGACAGTTTGTGGCGTTCGTGTGCACACACCCAAGTCACTGTTGATCTGACCGTGTCCGTCGAGTGCTCGCTGAGCTGCATTGGCTTCTGGTTGCCGAACGAATGCATGATAAGGTCGCACTTGTTACACACAAGGTGCTTGTCACAAGTGAACCACGATACATTGCTGATCCCGTCAAGGAGCATAAAGCATCACACAAACTCCGGTCATCCTCGCAGCAGCATTTAACGAACGAATAAAGACGGTTATTGCCTCGTGCGTTTTCCGATGCGCTTCCGCGGCCGTCTGGAACGCTCTTCCTTCTGATATGAGGACGCCGCTCGAAAACTAATTTCTTGAGAACTGCTTTTTGTGTTTATTTTGTTGTCCTTCCCCTACACCTCCATTTAGCACGGTTGGATACATACGGTGCGTAAGAAGTTCAACAAACATACATTGTGTATCTCACACTCGACGTGCTCATGCAGATCGTAGATGTGTAGACATCGCATACATCTCGTCGTCCGTATGATTCGTCCTCAACGAGTGGACGCCTTGTTGCGTGCAGAGTGGATGTGCCATACGGACGCCTGTAAATACAACATTTGCAGTATAATTTATTGATGTTTTAATTATTAGATTTTATTGTGTTGTTATCTACGTGTATTATTGCACTATTCAATTAAGCCTACGGATGTTATTTATGTGTACATCACAGGATTAATGTTAGGACACATTTTAATTAGCTCCCGTATGTTCAGTCGTACGCGAGAAACCTAAACGCAAACGTAGAATCTTCATTCTTGAATTATAAATTTTGCGCAGATTTTCAAGCGAAAAACCCTCACGAATGTCGAGGCCTTACCGCATATAGTACTAGTCTACATCTCCCTACCTTCACCAACACTCACTGGGCAGATTAGTGGCCAAAACAACCCTCAGCCTACACGGCCTAACTTTCAATATATATCCGTGATATTAAAAAAATGGCATGCACACGTGAGTTTAAATGTTATCATTAAAAAAAAATGTCCACCTACAATGTTATTTACGTACCTATTTATCTGGTTTTGATATAGTACGGAAAATGGTAATAGTCATTTTTGTTAATATTTTGGCTGAATAAAGGAATTTCCTCAATGATGAGAACTGTATCCCTTTGTCGTCACTTGATAATTGTTTCAGTATAAATAACAGGCTACTGATGTTTTTTTTTGTGGGCAGTAGCCATGTGCAGTGTAGAGACCCAGTAGATTGACACACGAACTGCGCCTATACATGCGTAAGTGATGTACCGTATATATCGTCTGTGTCTCATGAAATGAATTGGGTGTGTCATTTTGCAGCGTCTGCAACGACAATTATAGACGCTCTGGTTCCATCAGTCATTTCTAATTATTTACCGCAACTAATTGCACAGGGGTTTTTGTGACACACAATGTAATATTATTTTGATTGTTTCTCTCACTCTCTCTCTCTCTGTCTTGCTTTAGTAAACCTGGCTGGCACGGACATCATCTTTCTGGTCTGCTGCGTTCCATTCACGGCCACACTTTACCCACTGCCAAGCTGGGTGTTTGGTGACTTCATGTGCAAATTTGTCAACTATCTTCAACAGGTGGACTGAGTTGTCTTCATGATACTCTAGTATTTGTATGTATATGCACTTGCATGCTCAGGTCCCTCTGTGTGTAAGACTTTGATTATGACAATTGTTACAATAGATGTTGGACATTAGCACACATTACATATGCACAATCCGCAGGTCATAACGGGTGAGCTTATGAAATAACTCTGTCAACACAGTCAACTGGCATGTCACATGTGGTGGGATGAAGTGTGGTGACGGTACTCCAACCTCTTCCAAGACGTTTAAATCCGTGTGGAAGAGTAGGCCAAATACTCTAGCCGATGTCATTCCAGCCAGCAGTGGCGTGAGAAATAAATTGCAGGGCCGCACCTGTATCTCTATAAACACAATTCTGATTCGAGCAACACATTTGTGCATTACTCTCGTGAAGGAAGCCAAGGGGCAACTTCTGATACCAAGCACACTTGGGCTTGCTGGCAAGCGGTGTCCTGAGATTCAGCTTCTACTGTTATTGTAATTATCACGTGTGTTGACATGGGTTTCAGCATGGTTTCTCATGTCGGTGTTTGTGTGTGCCTAACTTTCAAAATATATATCCGGGATATAAAAATGTCATCAAATGTTAACATAAAAAACACATGTTTCGAAGACATTGTTATTTAAATCTATATTTATCTTGTTTTTATATGGTACACAACATTTTTTTTAAATAGTAATTATTGTGAATATTTTGGCTGAAAAAATGCATTTTCTCAATGATGAGAACGTTATCCCTGTTTCTTGGGCTTTACTGTCACTTGATTACAAGCTGATATCCGTGCATAACATTTTTTTTCTTTTCAGTATAAATGAGATAGGCTACTGGTGCTTTTGTGAGCAGTAGCCATGTGCAGTGTAGAGACCAAAGGATTGTCCCTTGAAGAAAGCTGCATTACCTCTGCTGTGTGAATTCCCCTGTGGGTGAATTATCTCGTGCTGAGACAGCTAATGCCTGAGGCAGGAAATTTCCGCTTTTGTTGCGCTTACAATCTTGTTTAAGCAGAAGTGTGTGTATGTATTCGGTAATGTATGTTTAAAATGCATAAAATACAACGTATATGTTTCAGCTGACAGGTTAAGCTCAGATTTTATTTTTCAAACGTCATATCAGCATGTTCTTAGAATTTTGCTCAATTCGAAGAAACGGCTTTTACCTTGGTACGTCTTCAATTATGCATTGCGCTTTGGGCCTCTGCGCAACTGTGTTCAGCAAACTGTGATTATAACTAAACAAACAAATAGATTTCGATTTAAAGCTTTCGTGACTGCAAGGATTCATCTTCTTTGGTTCTTTCGGTAAAGTCACGTAGAATGAGAATAAAATAATAAATTTATAAAATAAAATAACACAATAATATTCTCACGACGTTTCGGCCACAACACAAGCGGCCTTCATTAGGACGTTTAAGATATGTTTTATAAAATGGAATTGTGCTCAATAAAAAAGGCCATTAAATGAGGCCACGAAATGTTTCGCTAAGAGGTGGAATGCAGCGTTCCAGCGAAGGTACAATAGAGACTGCGAGCAATAGCCTTAGAATGAAGGCACCTTTGTTAAAAATGTACTGGCGAGAGTGATGTTCATATCAACATTAATGAAAGAATCGTGAAATAAATGAAGTGGCACATTAATTAGAGGCTGCATTCGCATTGTTATCCTACCTACCAGCGACAATTTTTCGACTTGTTGAACGTGCTGCATATGTGTCCCTGGCCACACTCCAGAGTCAACCACGAGGGCAGAATAAGCATCGCATCTCTTGGTATATATTTTAAAAATGTTGGAGGAAGCAATGTCGGATTTCTTCAAAGAGAGGTTGAGGAAGGTTATACGACACCTCCGTGACCCCGTGACATAATCATTTATACCTCTCCCTTTCAAGTCTTTCACAGATACTTGAAATCTTTGCAATTATGGTGGTATATAAATTCATTTCTTGCGGAGTGTGATATTTTCCTCTATAAATTCTGCAATGTTGGAAGAGCCGGGTGCATGATCACTTGATCTTCAAAGAGCAGGCAGATGTGTGGTGTTAATGGAGGTTGCATCGCGGTGCGTTTTGCCAGATATTGGTTATTGCAGATATCGGTGCTTGTTCTACAGTTGGTGCATTCTCGAGGTACAGTCACCAGAAAGGTTAATGCAGACTGTCGTTTCCAAGCCAAGCATCTACTACTAGTAAAATAATGAGATGTATTTTGTTTAAATGTGATCACTTTCAGTCCACTGTCGCTCGAATGTCTCCCCGCACCTTGTGGGACACAGAGGGTGTTGTTTGACCATACTTCACTACATCGGTCAGTGCGGGTTGATGAACGGAGTACCCAGGAGCAGTTCCGTTATTACGCGCCACCGATGTTAGCCGTGGCAGGGAATTAAACTCAGGTCACCGGGTTCGTAGTTGCAGCGTGCTTACTCCTTGCGCAACTGCTCCACCGTAACTCGTAATATCTAACATTTAAATACACGTGCAAGCATTCTGTAGTCGACTTGCTGCTGTTTCTAATGCTGTTTTAGAGGCAATTGTAGTGGTTAAATGGTTAAAAGGTTTGCTTTTATTTGTAGCATATGAATTGATGTATGTATGTTGAACTTAAATTTTGATTTAAAGCTTTCGTGACTGCAGAGATTCATATTCTTGGTTCTTTCGGTAAAGTCACGTAGAAGGGAAACAATTATTGTTTTATATTTTTATTATTTTATTGTTTCCCTTCTACGTGATTTTACCGAGAGAACCAAGAATATGTTGAACTTCTTTTGCACCGTTCGAAGCTAACAGTGGTAATCGGAGGATGTGAACATGTTTCCACTTTATTCCAGACACAGAAAAATCTCCTTTTCCCAATTCCAATATCATAGAATGGCTGGACCCCAGAGTTAACCTGACTGGGAATTTTGCTCTCCAAGTCAGAGTTTATTACCCCGATAGATGTTTGTGGCTACTAGCCATCTGGCTGATGTTATAAACATGTTAAAACATCGGCAGAAAATGGGGCAATTTAAAATTAATTTTGAAGTTACATGGGGGATCAATGATGTAGCATGGTCTTAAAAGGCTCGTACACTCCATCACTTCTCCAGCCTTACCAGGTCAACTTCGAGCCAACTAAATCTTGACAATCGTAAGACCCACGTCAAAAACCCAAGTAGCAAATTGCAAAACAATTTTAACTCAACACATTCGTCATGAACACTGCCTTCGGGGAAAATGTGTATAATAGATAACGGTTTGAGAAATGACTCTTCTTCACAGAATATGCATTTCATCCAGAACATGGACCAAAGAAAGGGATGTAGATAATGTAATTACGATCATCATTGGAATTACTACTTATCTCAGATTTAATTGAGAAGGTATGCATTGTTGTCAAGGGAGACTAATGGGGACAGGAAGGGGTGGAATTCCAGAAAAATACACAAGCAAGCGTATAAATGTTGACTTAAAGCTTTCGTGACTGCAGGAATTCATACTCTTTGGGGCTTTCGGTAAAGTCACGTGGATAGAAAAATATATATTTTTTAAATCACGACGTTTCGATCGCAACACAAGCAATCATCTTCAGGTGAAAAAACAAAATCACAAGCTGGCAAGAATGATAAATGCGTTCACTCTCAAGTATTGTGCGATCACGGATTATTTAAACGCAAGCCATTATTTTGCATGAAATATCATCCCACGCAGATGCTCAAAAGTGTAATAAAGCAATGGCCATGCTGTTCGCAGGTGACGGTGCAAGCCACCTGCATGACGCTCACAGCGATGAGCGTGGATCGTTGCTATGTCACGGTGTACCCGATCCGCTCACTCCAGCACCGCACCCCCTGTTTGGCTGCCTGCATCAGCATCGGCATTTGGATCGGTAAGATTGCTTTCGACGGTGCAGCCCTTTCAATTGCTTCGCTCACTCTGCTGCACACAGAAGGGCTTCCACTAGCTCTGGAGAGTCAATCTACAGGGAGCCTATGGCCTACTCTTCCACACTTTACCCCACCTGCCGACCGACTGCAGTGAACCCATTTGTACTGCTAGGTGGACAGGGGCAGTCGAATGGATTTTAAAGAAATGTTCCAATTGCTTCAAACTGCCGCACCAGGAGATTGAACTGGCGACCTCTGGATTAAAAATCCAATTTTCTAACCATTAAACCATTGTACTACCATTATACCAGAATTCACACTCGGGTCCTCAGTGGTTGGCGGCTCAGCGGTCAGACTCTCCAAGCCACCTGGTCACCTCATGTTTTTACCTCTGAATAAATATCGGAGAAGCAGTGCATTGGGGGGGGGGGGGCGAGTGGGAAACAAGATTATTTAAAGGCCATTTGTGTTGTCATAATTTATACAAATGCTCCCTACCCTTTGTGTAGGTAAACGCACTCATTGCTCATTCAGATGTCGTGCGAGGGAGAGTATATGAGCTATAATGTGGCTGCAATTAAAGGGGAGAATTGGCTTCATGAGCATTAAAGCATCTCATATTTTCCGTGACAGCCAATCCTGGTGTAATATCCTGGTGTAATATTATATCAATTGAGAAGTAAAATATTGCGAAGGGAGGAGTCATGTGTACAAAACATGCACGGTGGATCAAAATTGTAAATATGACGATTTTAAAAATATATACTGGATATAATTATCAAAAATAATACCCGAGGTGATTGCAATATTGATTTGATTTAAAATCACTGTGATTTATTTTATTTTACACCTACGTGACTTTACCGAATGAAAACAAAGAGTATAGTGCTTGCAATAGTATAATAACATAAGTCATGACCTTATGGGCACAGTGTAAAAATAGCATGAGAATTTTATTTTAAAAAGCTTCCAACTTACATATTATAAGTCATGTTGAATGGTTTAACTATTACCGCATTTATATTAATCATTGCCCCACATTTTGTTTTTATTTTGGCAGGTGTCATGTAATAGGTATTCATATTCATATATAAGATATGAGTGACAATAAGCCCATATAACTCCCACTATATATTCCCATCCTTTAAACGAGTAGGGCTACTGCGTCATTGTCATGTGACCAGCAGAGATTTAAATGCACGTATTTTGTAATCGTGCTATTTTGGATGAACATAACACATTTGGAATAGGTTTTATCCATGGCCTACAATTGCCATTTTTTTTACATTGAAATCATGCAGTTTGAGTAATTACTTGATGAAAAATACCAGGCTAAGATTAATTCCCCACTGAGTCACCGTTCTGCTACAAGAATGGCAGTGGCCTTGAACCTGAACTTTGGCTTGGTAACAAATGGACTGGTCTCAATGGGTGCTTGGCCGCATCGTTTCATCATTCCGCACTAGAGAGGCTACCGTCATCATCAACATGCCTTTCTACTTCAGTTATGATCCGTGCGTTCAACAACGAAGTAAGGCTTGATTGACCGCCTTCCGCTGACTCCCGTATTGAATCAGTGGCATTGCTTTGGATAACATCAGTGGGTTTTTTTTTTCATATATATATTTTTTTGCTGAGTCTGTCTATCTGGTTCTCTGCCTTATCGTAAGTGTTCGTTTTACGATTCCTCACGTGCTCTGATTTGTATTTGCTGCATTGCTGTACTTTATTTTCTAAACTTTATCAGTCCGCTCGTTCTGACGAGGTTCGCGGCGGCAGCATGTTGAGTAGGGCGGTCCAGACCTCCCTTTCCCTGGCGACAGACTCTAGCTCTTCCTTGGGAATTCCCAGGCCAGCCGAGCGACATAGTCCTGCCAGCGTATCCTGGGCCGGCCCCGGGGTCTTCGCCGAGTGGGACGTGCCTGGTAGAGTTCTGGGGGGGGGGGGGGGTCAATCGGGGGGGGTCAGCCTTACCAGGTGCCCGAACCACCTCAATTGCCTCCTCTAAATCCGGACGAGAAGCGGCTCGACTCTGAGGCTCTCACGGATTACCGAGCTATTCATCCGATCATGGAGATTAAGTCCGGCAACCCTGCGGAGAAACCTCATTTCGGCCCCTTGTACCCGCGATCTCATCCTTTCGGTCGTTACCCAAGCTCACGACCATACGTGAGGGTGGGAACGTAGATCGACCTGTAAACCGCGAGCTTTGTTCGAAAACTCAGCTCCCTCTTCATGACCCGTGGAAAGGCCCAGTGCCCGCAACACTGCGGACGCCGCACCGATCCGCCGGCCGATCTCGCTCTCATGAAAGGGACCCCGATGTACTTAAACTCCCCCACTAAGGGCAGTTGTACTTTATATTATATTGCTGTACTGTATATTATTTGTTTATCAATTGTCAATTCAGTGACCCAGGCCATTCTCGCAGATTATACTCATCCTGGTCCTCTTGGGTTCTCACCTGGTTAAACAATTAAACTGGAAACCTCTAAATCTCATCCATTCCTTTAGATACATATGCAGTGCCCAATTTAGTATTCGATCCAGATTCATCTTCATTGCAGATGTTTCTACCAGAGTCGTTATTCTCTGCTGGCCTTCTTGTCATTTATTTCTTCCACAATCTTCATGATCTCAATACACTCGGGAATGATCTCAGGTAGCACAACTCCACAATAGGAAGCAATGTGGAATTTCGTGCAATGGAGATGAGCATTGTCAATCAATGTACCTATCACTTTTGACACAAGCATGTAAGAGACTCATCCTCGTTAATCTTAATGCCGCATAGAAACAAAGCAGTGAATGTGACGTCACTTCTCCAAAAAATACACAATGGTTTACAATTGTTGAAATGCAACACTCAAGAACTGTGATGAATCCTATGGGTAATTTGGTATTTAAAACTTACCATCACTATGATTCATAATTGATGTTTGATCACGTAGGTAAAATGTGCCCTCCGACACAGCCAATTCATAAATTGTCACTTGAGAAAACGCACCAATGTATTACTGCTTAGGCACACCGGTGTGTTGGATAGCAGTCTAACAACCAGAGCCGTCTCTAGGGTATGGCGAATTAGGGTGACTGCCCGGGGCCCCGCATTTTGGGGGGCCTACTTCGACGTCGTGGTGTAAGATGTATTACTTCCGGTTTAGTTTTACGGCTTTAGAGGGCCCACACATTCCGATTTTCTGCGGGCCCCACACCCACCCCCCCCCCCCCCCGGACGGCCCTACTCGCTAGATTTAACAAATGGGTTACGACGTTTTGCTGATACTGTAGTAACAACCAGCTTTATCAGGAAGTTTATAATTCTGGCAAATTGTTGCTGGAATTGGCTGAACCCAAGGTCTCTGCAACAAGATGCGCCGGCGGCACTACCACTTGGCCAGATCAATGCCCCAAACCACGCCCTGCTGCTGTCTGTCCTTCGACAGGTTCGCTCGTGATGTCTCTGCCCATGGCCCTGTACCACAAGACGGACACGAAGGAGTGGTACGGGCCCAAGACGTACTGCTTTGACGCCTTCCCCTCTGTGCCCCACGAGCACGCCTTCGTGCTGTACAGCTTCGTGCTGGTCTACATGCTGCCACTGGTCACCATCTCCGTGTGCTACAGCATTATGATCAAGAAGATCGGACGTCCCGCGGTGGAGCCTCAGGATGACAACGTGCAGGTGATTGAGGGCATCCGGTAGGCAGCAGCGGACACGGGGGACGAAGAAAATAACAAAAAACGACGACGTTTCAATCGTAACACAAGCGGTCGTCATCAGGAAAAGGTGGTTGGCTTCTAAAGGCGAACTGTTTATAAAGGTTTTAAACATGGGCATAGCCCAAGTGTTAGCAGCATGGGCGGAGCAACTAATGTTAATGTGAGTGATGGTACTCGTAGAGGGCAATGATGGCGCTGGTGGTGGGTTTCCACCAATCAAAGGGCTGCCAAGTAATCATAGCACCTCGCCTTATACACTCACACTGTTGGCGGTGGAGGTGACTGCTTGTGTTGCGATCGAAACGTCGTAGTTTTTTGTTATTTTCTTTGAACCTATCTTTGTGACTTTACCGAAAAGACCCAAAGAATATTCTAGATTTGAAGCTTTCGTGATTGCAAGGATCCACACTCTTTGGTTCTATTCGGTAAAGTGACGTAGGTAAAAAATAAAACAGCAAAAATCGCGACGTTTCGGCCACAACACATGCGGCCATCATCAGGTGAAGGGACCAGAGCGCAGTCTTCGAGACAGTCTGGTCCCTTCACCTGATGAAGGCCGCTTGTGTGGTGGCCGAAACGTCGTGACTTTTGTTGCTTTATTTTTTACCTACGTGACTTTACCGAATAGAACCAAAGAGTATGGACCCAAAGAATACTCGTCACTGATGTTTATAACCTTGGCTTGGGATCAGGTCGCTGCCACTCCACCCCACATCGTATGTAATGTGTTTCATGTGGAGTAGAGACAGGACAAAAACACCCATTACCTGTTGTAATACCCTAAGATTAATCTGAAATGTTATTCTGGCAAACATTAGCCATCTAAATTTTTTATGCAAGTATGTTTTCCATTCTTACTTGTGTAGTGTTTATAAAGATGAGTAAACTTTGATTTAAAGCTTTCGTGACTGCAGTAATTCATATTCTTAGCTCTTTCGGTAAAGTCACATTGAAGGGAAACAATAAAATAATAAAATATATATAAAACATTAAAAATTCTCACGACGTTTCGACCATAACACAAACGGTCGTCATCAGGTGTGTCGGTTTGCATAAATTTATTTATTTTTGAACGATGTATTTATTTATTTATAAAAAAAAACGTCAGCGCCACACGCAGCGATTTGGCAGTTTATTTAGAAGGACTAGTCCATCTATGTTTTAAAAAGAGGAGGGGGGAGACGAAAAATGTATGTATGCTGTCTGAAAGCCATTGTAAGCGTGAACAATCAATTAAGACCTGAAATGGTTTATCAAATCTTTCCAATGATTGCTAAGCCAGAAACCATCTTCTCGGTTGAAATTGTCTCTGTGCTTGTATATGTGGATAGCCTCATTAACGAATCTCTCATGGTAGCAAGATGGCTTACAAAGAACCTCTGTCTTGGAAAAGTCAATGTCATGTGAGCCTACTGAATTATAACAATGATCTGCCACGGCCGAGGTGTTGGTCCTACCATGTTTAAGGTCTGCTTTGTGTTCATGAATGCGGTCCGAGACATGGCGTTTGGTTTCTCCAATGTAACTACTACCAGAGAGGCAACTTAGTTTGTAGACACCAGGTTACTGTATGTCCGGAATCACATCTTTTACAGACGGAACCAGATCACGGATTTTATGTAATGTGTTAAAACGGACCTGGATCTTGTGTTTATTCAAGATTTTGGAGATCTTTTTGTGATCCCCGCAATGTAGGGTAAAGTGATGGTTTTGAAAGGCTCCTCAAGAGGGTCCTTCTTCGTGGTTTGAGTGATAGCTTTGCGGATTGTATAGTCGGAGTAACCATTAGCCTTAAGAGCTTGGTGTACGTGCTTGAGTTCACTGCCTATGTGTTCCTGGTCGGATATGCATTGGGCTCTATGATACAGAGTCTTGATGAGAGAATTCTTCTGTGATGGATGGTGGTGGGAATCCGGTTTCAGATAAGCATCCGTATGTGTAGCTTTCCTGTGGACAGAGTGGCTCATTGAACCATCAGGTCTCTTTTTAATTAGGACATCCAAAAAAGGTAGCTTGCCATCTTTTCCGACTTCCATGGTAAATCTGATGGCTGGGTGTATGGAAATGATGTGGTCGAAGAATTGGTCTAGAGCAGGCCGGCCATGTGGCCAGATGACAAAAGTGTCATCCACGTACCTCTTCCATAAGGTTGGGCGCAGAGTGGCAGTCTGGATGGCGTCAGTCTCAAATTTCTCCATGAAAATGTTAGCTATAATCGGAGATAGGGGGGAGCCCATTGGGGTGCCCTCAGTTTGTTTGTAGATAGTTCCAATCCAAGTGAAGTATGTATTGGTTAAACGGTGTCTCACCAGGGGGGGTACCTCAGTGTTTAGTCCTTGATGAACCAAGTCTTCAATGATTGTGATGGTGTCAGGTACAAAAACCTTGGTAAATAAGGAAACTACATCAAAACTGACAAGCAGGTCGTCTGGGGACAGGGAAATACCCTTGATTGTCGATACCAGGTGAGTAGAATTTTGTACCGCAGAGATGGTTTTTTCCAGTGAAAGGACGCAGGATTTCAGACAAAAAACGAGCCAGTTTGGAACTTTCTACAAACAAACTGAGGCATTCCAATGGGCACCCCCCTATCTCCGGTTATAGCTAACATTTGGCTTTCAGACAGCATACATTAATTTTTCGAATCCCCCCTCCTCTTTTCAGAACATAGATGGACTAGTCCTTCTAATTAAACTGCCAAATCGCTGCGCGTGGCGCTGGCGTGTTTTTTTTATAAATAAATACACCGTTTAAAAATAAATAAATTTATGCAAACCGACACACCTGATGACGACCGTTTGTGTTATGGTCGAAACGTCGTGAGAATTTGTATTGTTTAATATATATTTTATTATTGTATTGTTTCCCTTCAACGTGACTTTACCGAAAGAGCTAAGAATACGAGTAAACTTCTTAGGAGGCACACTCTGTTCATTGTAACTATTTTCCTATACAATCCTTAACACACACAGAGGGGTATCCGGTCCCCTCACCCGATACCCTAAGGAGGTACAGCCTCCGGACTCAGCGTAACCTACACACAGGTCTCCTTGATACCTAAGGAGGTACAGCCTCCTAGCTTGGCGACACTTACATGTCTACAGCTATTCTAGAGTCCTCCGGCTGGGACCTAGGGGAGGCTATCTGACCCACCGCTGGCCCGGTAGGTCCTGACCACTGGGTACCTAAGCCTTAGCCCTCAGAAGGGCTGGATGGCTGGTCCAGGGTCCTAGCTAGTCTTCAGCCCGGGCTTCTGTCTTCGTGTAGGGAGAGAACTCCCCGAGCTCTGTTGGGTCACCCTTCTTATACTCGTTCGTAGCCAGGTATAACCAATCACACATTCCCACGTGGAACTGGCTGATTGGTTCTTACCAAACCGTGGCTACGATCCACTTCACCTCGTCTGACCCCAACCGTTATGCACCCAGAGGTAACGCTGCACTGCCCCCTTGAAACCTGGTGGCAATGCAGGTTACCGAACAGTGCGGAGTTAACACCTCTACACTTGTGGGAAGCGTGACCTATGACACTCGCTTGGCCATCATCATTCACCACTCACTACTCTCCTGACCCTCACCACTCACCAGTCATCAACTCACCTCACACTCACCTCTGACCATCTCACCTAACACTCACCAACTCACCTGACACCAGTAATCAACTCACCTGACCCCTCACCACTCACCAGTTTACACAACTTAGTGGGCAGTCCGGCTGTGTTTCAGTGGCAACGCGGTTCGGTTCTTCTCTGCGGCGGTGCAGCTGCAGATGCTCACAGAGCGGAACGAGGCGACGAGGGCGAAGGTGACTCGTATGGTTGTGGTGGTCGTGCTGGTCTTCATGCTCTGCTGGGGGCCCATCCAGCTCTTCATCCTCTTCCAGAGCTTCTACCCGCACTTCGCCATCAGCTACACCACGTACAAGCTCAAGACATGGGCAAACTGCATGTCGTACGCCAACTCGTCCATCAATCCGTTCGTCTACTGCTTCATGGGCGACAGTTTCCGTAAGACCTTCAAGAAGGCGTTCCCGTGCCTGTTCAAGGCGCGCGTGGCGCCTGCGCCCGACGCTGCCTACACCGAGATGAACAACATGAACCGCAGAGGGGCGTGAGCATGGGCCTTGCACACGCGCGCGCACGCACAAACGCACAAGATCCCATTGAACGCGGAACGTTGCGCCAACGTTGTGTTACAAACGGTTCCGGGGACGTTGGCAGCCAAGAAATATCGATGCTGGTACACAGGGCTTAGACATTTTCTTGCATGCTTTATACGTGGGGCAAATGAAAACAAGTCAAGGGCCTCCAAAATTATGGAGATGATGCAAAACAATTGAGATCACGCATAGAAAATTGTGCTGCACTTGAATGTAGCAATTTCCCGAACCGCGTTGCCATTGTAACTCTGTCGTCCCGACAGGTTTGTTCCTTTCACCTGAAGAAGGCCGCTTGTGTTGTGGCCGAAACGTCGTGAGAATATTATTGTGTTATTTTATTTTATCAATTTATTATTTTATTCTCATTCTACGTGACTTTACCGAACGAACCAAAGAAGAGATTGTGTAATGCTTTGGTAACTAAACTAATAATTCATGAAATATGGGATGTTCAAATCTCCCGGTGATCACAAGCATGTACATATGTACGTTCATGCCCCAAAGCACGCGAAAACATACATTATTGGTATTTAATAATAATTTTAGTGTATTTGGTATTCGTGCCATTCTTATGGCGCAAGGCTATCACAAAGTCTGCAGTATTTTCACAATTGGTGGTGGGGGGGGGGGGGGTGGATGTTACTGTGTGCTATCCCAATTGAGTAGTTTGCAGATATTTTTTATAATTTGGACCATGACGCTGGCACACAATGGGCCTTTTTGAATCATGTCAGTGGGATAATGAACATCCACAGTGAAGCAGACTGTGTACGTGTTATGATTAATGCACCCGTAGCGATGACCAGGGTGGCCTGTCAGCGGTGAATGCCAGTGTGTACCATCCTGTGGACGCAATGGGTACATAATGCACAGTTCGTTGATGCACACGGAAACACAATTGTGGATGTGAAGTGCATAACTAAGTGTAATGATGCTCACATTGCCAGCAGCAGTGCATGGACAGGGAAAATACGTACTTATGCAATCGAGCTCAGAGCAACGATTTTGACAAAACAGAGAGACACGGAACAGCATTCGCATACAGCACAAATAATACCAGTTTTTAATGTCATTTTCATTGTATTATGAGTTCCATTTATTCCAGAAGAAGTATATTCATAAAATCGATAGAACGGATAAAAATGTTCATATCCATTTTGGCTCTTAAATAGGATACACATTTACGAGTCTGTTATACCCATTGAATAAATGCATTTTGGACTGGGTGAGTAGATGTTTACAAAAAATACAAGATGCAAGTGATTAATGTTATCAAATCACAGTCCATAATCGGGACACGTATCTTGTAACGAACGAGGCATTGATCCATACTCTTTGGTTCTTTCGGTAAAGTCACGTAGGTGAAAAAATAAAAACAATAAATAAAAATAAATAAATTAAATCACGACGTTTCGGACGCAACACAAGCGCCCGTCATCAGGTGGGACAATGACAGCAAGAAAACAATTGCTAAAGTGGTCAAGAGGGCTGCTGCAAAACAAGAGGTTATATATATAAGAGGGGGGGGGGGGGGGGGGGGAGGAGCCAGGGATGGGAGGCGGGGGGGGGCTGCTCGAGTACAGGGGAAGGGAGAACAAAGGGGGACGGGAGGGAAAACAGCAGCGGGGGTGGGGGGAAAGCAAGCGGGGCTGGGGAGCTGAACAACAAGATGTGGAAAAAGAAGCAACAACATAACGCAGTTACGGTTTTACTTGGTTAATAACATCCTTCCAGTGATTGCTCAATTTGTACCCATTTTCTCGGTTGAAGTGATGTCTATGTTTGCATATCTGGATGGCTTCATGAACAAATCTTTGATGGTAGCCAGGCGGCTTGCAGAGCACCTTGGTCTCGGAGAAAACAAAACCATGGGAGCCCACAGCGTTATAGCAATGATCAGCAACGGCGGAGGAATTAGTTCTGCCGTGTTTCAGATCTGACTTATGCTCGCGGATACGGTCAGAGACATGACGTTTCGTTTCCCCAATGTAACAATCACCACAGATGCAACTTAGTTTGTAGACTCCAGGGTATTGCAAGTCAGGAATGACATCCTTCACAGATGGGATTAGATCACGGATTTTGTGTACTGTACTGAATCGGACCTGGATCTTGTGTTTGTTTAAGATTTTGGCAATCTTTTTGGTAATGCCTGCTATGTATGGTAACGTGATGGTTTTGATCGGCGTCTCAGGGGGTTGCTTCTTCATGGTTGGAGAAACAGCTTTGCGGATAATACCGTCCGAGTATCCATTCATCTTGAGGGCCTGGTGCACGTGTTCCAGTTCACTGGCTAGGTGGTGTTGGAGATGCAGTGGGCCCTATGGTGCAGGGTTTTGATGATGGGTGCTTGTGTTGCGCCCGAAACGTCGTGATTTTTTTTCACCTACGTGACTTTACCGAAAGAACCAAAGAGTATGGATCCTTGCAGTCATGAAAACTTCGAATCTAGAATGAAAGCATTGATCACCACATACAATGGCAATATAAGCCCTCAGGAGAAACACTGCTATACGGTATTAGAAAATGGTAAACAGCTCAACTTGAGCTGGCTGGCTGGCTCAGGTGAGAGCACTGAACCTGTACTTCTATCATAACTGCATTCAAAACCAAGCAGCCCTTCGTGATGAAACCAGATTCTCAATTTTAACAAGGTCCTGGTCTCAATTGCAGTAAAACCTATAACTGTGCATAAAAGCCATCTACCATATTATAATTGGTTGTGAGCCTCCACCTCCGATTAGCATGGTTGGCTACGTACAGTGCAAAAGAAGTTATACAACAATACATATATGTATTATTGGAGAACCCAGTAAATGAGGCTCCTTCACTTGCCTCGCTTGTAAAACAAAAAAAAAACCCGTGTTAATAAAATCTCGGCCTTCCGTATTTTCATTCACCACAGTACGAATGGCAAAGTACCATGTGGCAGGTCCCGTGGTCTTGGTTTACAAGTCAAAAGGCCCCTTTTGCAAAGTGGTGCTTTTCACCACCGACCAGACACTTGCAGAGCAACGCTACGGTTATCCATGGGACGTACAGATGTAAACAATTATTGTGGTTTATTTAGCGATAAAATGGGGTGACTTACTTAGCCATACAGAGCCACGTGTGTTTACCAATCAATCAGCGTTTGTTCAATCAGTGAGTGCGATGATACAGACCAAACGATGCCTGCGGTTCAATTAGCGACAAAATATGGGGCTTATTTATCTATACAAAGCCACGTGCCAACCAATCATTAAGCGTTTGTACACTTTTCACATCTTGATTTGAAGCTTTCGTGAATGCAGGAATTCATACTCTTTGCTTCTTTCGGTAAAGTAACGTCGATAGAAAAAAATACTAATAAATCACGATGTTTCGATAGCAACACAAGGCATCGTCTTCAGGTGAAACAATACAGCAGGCGGACTGCTGAGGGGGAAATGTAGCGAGAAATGTAGCGAGTATACAACCTTTGGTTGCAGTAGCTATTCTGGCTACATTTCTTCCTCAGCAGTCCGTCTGCTGTGTTGTTTCAGTTAGCTGTTTGGTGTTTGAACATCATACCACCTGTTTTGTTGGCAGAAAGGGTAAAACCTATTCTTATTTTTTTTTATATAAGGCTGATTGTTGCTACGCAGCAAAGCCTCTCAAAAACATTTTACATTACGGAATTTTATAAATATATCCCATACATAAACTCTGCAGAGAATTTGAGATAGAAGCATATGTTTACAAGCAGACCTCCATTCTGCGTTTCCACATATGAACAAAGATAATCTTAATCAGCCTATTGGCTTTCCAGACCGATATATATTAACTTTTTTTTTAAGCTGCAGGAAAAAAAAAACATCTGCTAGAAGGTTTCTATGGTAAAGCTAGCACTATGTAAATACAACCAATTATTAAGTCGTGATTAAAAATGCAATATACACACTTCACATATACACAAATACCATTGACAATCCAGTATACGTATTTTTTTACCTAAGAAAGTATACATCCACCTGGCCATATTTGAATGAGCCCATAAGGTGTGCAAAAGTACAGTGCCCTTTAAAGTACAGTGCCCTTTAAAGTTAACTGCGATGCCTAAGAACTCTATCACAATTGCTAATTTTGTGAACAATAAAGGAGGCAATTGAGCTACCTCGAGATTATGTGCACCCTTCAAATAATAATCCAGCATCTCCAACGTAGACTGCAGAAGTGTTTACAGGTGTGGTGGGTTGACATTTTGATCAGAACACCCAGTATCTTTCTCAGCTGTGCTTGGATTTCAATAACGTACACATGTATTGTTTTGGCATTTCCATCCCTTTCCAAATATCTCCTTTTCGACGTTAATTCCGTGTTTTTTTGGATAGTAGTTTGCCCCCCTTTCTCAATGCACTGTCCATTGCAATGTGAGCTATCTAATTATTCAAAGATATTATTTGGTGACGCTTGCTGCATTGGCAATTGTGCGCATGTAGAGGTGAAAAAATACTCAAAGGGCCATTTACCCGAAATGTCCCCTTTCAAATGTGTCATTTTAAGGCAGTGTTCTCGGTGAAGGTGTTGAGTTTTTCATATTTAAGTGGTGATAACCATGCCAACATTGTTATTCGCTGGGGGATTTGACTTTGTTGCACTAAAATAGGTCTTGATTCAAAGGAGTATGTGAAAACAGTTATGAAAATAATGGGTAAAAAATTAAAGAGAACCGAACAGAAACACGATTATGGATGTTATAACAAGCAATGGCAACATGAAATTGCAGCAATGCACTTGATAATTGGGAAAATTACAAATGGTACCCCCCAGGGAGACTCAGGTGGAACCACAACACACAATAGAAAGAGAATAGAATACAAACTCGTGGAGGAATTATATGCAGATGTTAGTAGCACTATGAAACACATTTTGTTCAGGTGACACTGTTATAAAAGGTAGCTACCACTCTTCGTACTGTTATAAAGAGGTATCCACCACTCTTCACACTTATAAAGAGGTAGCCCCCACTATTCACACTGTTATAAAGAGGTAGCCCCCACTATTCACACTTATAAAGAGGTATTCACTACTCTTCACACTGTTATAAAGAGGTATCCACTACTCTTCACACTGTTATAAAGAGGTAGCCCCACTATTCACACTGTTATAAAGAGGTATCCACCACTATTCATACTGTTTTAAAGAGGTAGCCCCACTATTAACACTGTTATAAAGAGGTAGCCCCCACTCTTCACACTGTTATAAAGAGGTAGCCCCACTCTTCACACTGTTATAAAGAGGTAGCCCTACTCTTCACACTGTTATAAAGAGGTAGCCCCACTATTCACACTGTTATAAAGAGGTAGCCCCCACTCTTCACACTGTTATAAAGAGGTAGCCCCACTCTTCACACTGTTATAAAGAGGTAGCCCCACTCTTCACACTGTTATAAAGAGGTAGCCCCACTCTTCACACTGTTATAAAGAGGTAGCCCTACTCTTCACACTGTTATAAAGAGGTATCCACCACTCTTCGTACTGTTATAAAGAGGTATCCACCACTTTTCACACTGTTATAGAGAGGTATCCACCACTCTTCACACTTATAAAGAGGTATTCACTACTCTTCACACTGTTATAAAGAGGTATCCACCACTCTTCACACTGTTATAAAGAGGTAGCCCCACTATTCACACTGTTATAAAGAGGTAGCCCCCACTCTTCACACTGTTATAAAGAGGTAGCCCCACTCTTCACACTGTTATAAAGAGGTAGCCCCACTCTTCACACTGTTATAAAGAGGTAGCCCCACTCTTCACACTGTTATAAAGAGGTAGCCCCCACTCTTCACACTGTTATAAAGAGGTAGCCCCACTCTCCACACTGTTACAAAGAGGTAGCCCTACTCTTCACACTGTTATAAAGAGGTATCCACCACTCTTCGTACTGTTATAAAGAGGTATCCACCACTTTTCACACTGTTATAGAGAGGTATCCACCACTCTTCACACTTATAAAGAGGTATTCACTACTCTTCACACTGTTATAAAGAGGTATCCACCACTCTTCACACTGTTATAAAGAGGTAGCCCCACTATTCACACTGTTATAAAGAGGTAGCCCCCACTCTTCACACTGTTATAAAGAGGTAGCCCCACTCTTCACACTGTTATAAAGAGGTAGCCCCACTCTTCACACTGTTATAAAGAGGTAGCCCCACTCTTCACACTGTTATAAAGAGGTAGCCCCACTCTTCACACTGTTATAAAGAGGTAGCCCTACTCTTCACACTGTTATAAAGAGGTATCCACCACTCTTCGTACTGTTATAAAGAGGTATCCACCACTTTTCACACTGTTATAAAGAGGTATCCACCACTCTTCACACTTATAAAGAGGTAGCCCCCACTATTCACACTTATAAAGAGGTATCCACCACTCTTCACACTGTTATAAAGAGGTAGCCCCACTCTTTATACTGCTATAATGAGGTAGCCCCACTCTTCACACTGTTATAAAGAGGTAGCCCCACTCTTCACACTGTTATAAAGAGG